TGAAACCCAAAATTTATGTGAACAAGTCATCAACAGTGTTTTTCAAGCAGATGGCAAATAAAAAGTTCATGTTGCACAGTCCTCAGCTTACAGATGAACTTGAGAGCCCCACAGAAGCTATTGATGAAGGTAGTGAGGAGGTGGAATAGTAGTATTAGAATGGAGGGCAAGCCTTCAATAGAGCCATTGATATTGAACATTGGTGGGAATGAGGATGCACAGCCACTAGGGCAACATTGCCTGATTGAAAACCCAGCTATACCAGATTCGGCTTTACCAGCAGCAAAGGCTGTGCCAGGCTCTAACACTGACTTAGTGAGTTCCTTGCTATCATCTCTCACTGGTCTCGTCTCAACTCACCTACTAGGTGTCAATTTATTGCCAATCATCCATGCTTATATTTCTGGTAACACTACACTATCCAAAGTGTCCAGATTATCTTCTCATTTTAAGAACTTCAGTGTCAAGGACAGCTTGATATACTTATGTGAGGATGGTCATGAACTCCTCTGCATTCCAGAAAACATGCAGATCTATAAATGTGACCTGTGAGAGATTATAATCAGCAAGGCTCACTCACTAGTTGCCCACCTTAGCAGCTTGAAAACATTAGCCTACTTACAGGGCCACATTTGATGGAAGAGTATGGCAAAGGATACTCGGGCTTACTGTGAGTCTTGCTCAACTTGTAAATAGAGTAAGCCTGCTAATCAGAAGCCATTTGGCTTGCTAAACTCCTTAAAGGTGGCGACATACCCTTGGGAATTGATGGGCTTTGATTTCATAGGACCACTATCAGAATCTTCCAATTGTGATGGAACATTCAATAGTATTTTTGTTTTTATAGACCTCCTGACTGGAATGGTGCACCTAGTTTCTTCTCATACAAACTACAAGGCTCCACAAGTAGCAGAACTTGTGTTCTCTGAGGTATACAAGCATCATGGCCTCCTGAAAAACATTGTATCTGACTATGATGTGATCTTCACCAGTAAATTCTGGTCTTATTTGCATAATTTGATTGGGGTGAATCTCCAAATGTCTAGTGCATATCACTCTGAATCTGACAGATCAACTGAATATGCTAACAGGACAATTACTCAAATGATTCAGAATTGTATTTCTCAAGATCAGAAGGATTGGGTTGCAAGATTACTCACTATCAAGTTTGTGATCAATAGAGCATGGTTGGAGTCAACAGGATATGCTTCATTCTTTTTGAACACTGGCTGTATTCCCCACTCTATGATTTGGAACTCACCTATGGACTTTGATTTTCCTGGAGTATATGAGTTTGCTGAGACAGTGAAGACTGCTTTGATAGCCATGCATGACAGCATTCTCAGCGCTCACATCAAGCAAATCAGGAATGCCAATAGGCATCACCAGGCTTCACCTCTTGCCTTGGATGATCTGGTATATATCTTGATAAAGAACATTACTCTCCCCAAAGGATTAACTCAAAAACTGGCTCCAAAGTTTATTAAACCATATAGGATCTCATGGGATTTCAGAAATGGGTCTTATAAAGTGGAGTTGCCACTGGATCTCAAATGGCAAGGTATCCACAACATCTTTCATGCTTCCCTGCTACAGGTTCATATCCCAAATGATGACCATCTCTTTCCTGGTCATCTTAACACACAGGTTGGACTGAGTGAGCTGTTGGAGAAGAAGTGAAAGGTGTCTGGCATCCTTTCTCATGTTGGAAAGAGTGAATGAGCTATTTTCCATATGGAGTGGGCTTCTGGAGATTGTACTTGTATGCTATATGCCAATGCTAAAGGGCTAACAGTGCTTCAAGATTATTTTGATGTCCTTGGCATTTCAAAAATAGTGCAATTGAAGGAGGGCATGGGATTATTGAGAGATGAGCCTGCATTTTTCCTAGAGGCCATTGGTATTGATCATCATGGTCCCATGGTTTTAGAGATCAGGTTGAAGAAGAAAATTTTTTCAGGTATTCAAAGTGGGGAGGGACCTTTGGGTTATATGATGGAATTCTCAGCAAGATATTTTGTAGATTACTGCTTTTCCTACCTTCCCTGTCCTGCTCCCATCCATTAACACCTCAACGGCATCCATTATTTAATTTACGCTGTCCATAACACCTGTTTAACTTTGCAACAGCTTATATAAACCCTTGATGATCTTGACTCTTCCCTTTCCACTCTTCACATCTCCATCCACAACTCCCTCTATATCTCCACTCCCTGTTCTAACAAACTTCATCTGTGCAGGCCTATATTTTATTATGCTCAAGTGCAGGAACAGGACCTTGGGCTACCACCACAAGCAGGTGATCCTGTATATCAAGCACATGAATAACTTGGTGAAGTGAGACATTCTGCAAGGTTAGGCAGAGCCCACAGGTTACAGGTTATTCATGATGGGATGGAATGACAAAGACACACCCAGCACATTCCCTATTCAACAAGGAGGGATAGTTGAGAAGCTGTCTGACATTCAGGTAACCTTAGACGAGATATTCTCACCCATACCAGTCAAGAGGAAAGTCAAGGAGCAGGGAGGTTGGGAAGGTTCTCCCACAGGACCAAGCTCAGGACAGATTCTAACCAATGAGGAGTGGGTTATGGCCAACTGCACTGTATGAGCTGAGGTGTCCACTTCATAATGCTGCAGGGATTGTATTGGTTATGCCAAGAAACAGTATCAAGAGAATCATTCTAAGTGCAAGAAATAGGGACTCACTATAGGATATTCTCTGCATGTCATCAGACCTTCAAGTCTGCCCCCCATGCCCAATGACATGCTTCCCCTCTCCAATGCAATGAAAATGGACACCCCTACCATCACTGACACTGACAAGGCCTAGACAAAGCTTGAATGTGAGATGCTTTTGTAAAAGCATCAGAGGGTATATGTAGGAGATTCATGCTGGCTAGTCATGCCAGTACTCTCATTCTCTCTCTCTCTTTCTTTCTTTATCTTATCTTCTTATTTATCTACTTATTATATAGCTCTTCTACTTTACTACAGGGATCCTGCTTTTTTATTACTTATTATGTCTTTTTCCCTTACCTTGCTGAGTTCTCTTTATAGTATAAACTCTATTTTACTAGTATATAAAGCCTAACTTACTCCTACATACTCCTTAGATACTTGAATAGAGGATCTTTTATCTGGTCTTTCTCCATTCGACTACTCTCTCACTTCATCTGAACTCTCGTGTGCCATTACTGCTGATACTCCATCACAGTACTGTCACAATGCCAATGGGGTTTACCAGGGTTTTACATGAACTACATAATCTTGTGGGTGCAGAAAGCCAGATTAGGATGAGTCATGATAGCAGTGTGCATCAGGCCACCAACAGCAGATTGATAGAAAACTGTCTTCAATGTATGTAATGTCTTTCTCAGTCTTTAAACAGTCATCCTTAGACAATTTGACAGAAGAATTCATTGGTGTTTAAATATTTTGCCTATTATCAAATCTAAAGTGCTTAGCCAAATCCTCGATGTAATGATAATGGGAGAGAGAAATGGTATGAGCTCTCTGATCACAAATTATCTCAATGCTAAGAAGGAAATATCCTTCACCACGATCTTTGATAGCAACATGCTAGCTTATCTCAGATTTAAGAAGCTTAACTTCAGCTACTAAATTGCAGAAGAGACCAAAATCATCAACATGGCAAAAGACAATGGAAAGTCATCCAGACTGTACATGAATAAAGATGCAAGGATCACTGATGCAGACCTTGAATCCCAGTTTGATCATGATTATCTTTAGCTTGTTGTACCAGAGGAGAACAGCTTGCTTCAGACTGTAAAAAGCTTTGAGCAGCTTCTAGACTTTATTCTCCTGGCCTTCAACAACAAATCCTTGAGGCTGTTTGATATAGACAGTCTGATCAGGTAGTAGCTCACTATTCAAGAAAGTGAAATTGACATCAACAGTATGGAATTCCCAGTCATGAATGGCAGCCATGGAAAGAAAAAGGCACACAATTTCAATCTTGGATATGGGAGCATGTGTATCTAGATAGTCAACCTCAGGAATTCAGGTGAACTCATGGACACAGATACAAGCCTTATACTGAGTGATAGCATAAGTCTTATTGTGCTTGATTTTAAATGCCTAAGTGCTGCAAAGAGCATTAGATCTCTCAGTTAAATCAACCAACTCATAGGTTTTAGCAGCTGTAACCTTGTAAAATTCAGACATCATGGCATCCTCTCAAAGATCACAGCCAGGAGAGTTCATCACTTTCTTGTAGGAGTGAGGCTCTCACTTTATCTTCTCCTCTATCAGTTCAGCAATTTCATTTGCATAAACAGACATGACAACTGTGAGTTGAATGGTTTCTGAGAGAGGATCATTCTCAGAGTTGTCAATGGAAGTGGAATCTCCCCCTGGAGTTGCATTGGATTTCTCCAATATTCTGGCTTGAGTCTCAGGCTCAAGTCCCATTATATGCCTGGACCTCTCATAAGGTGGATGTAGTTCTCTAGGTTTCTGCTGATGCTTAGGTGCTGGCTCAGAGACAGGATTGGTGGGTGCTTCAGAAGGTTTTTTGGTGGAGGGAGAAGATGGAAGGCTGTCTTCATCTTTGTCTTCATTCAGCTGAGGTTTAAAATAGAATAATCAGTTGGAGTAGAATTCTTCCTCTCAGTCTTGTGACTGTATCCTATAATTGTATCATCCACCTTAACATGCACTAAGTCATAAAATTTATGTTTCTCAATCATATAGATCTTGGAGACTTTTTGAGAGTCTGAGTAGCCTACAAAAATGCATTCTATGGCTCTCAGGGTGAGCTTGTTGTCCCTCTGAGATTTATCAATATGAAGGAACACTCTAGCATCAAAATGATGTATGTTTTTGAGATCTGGTGACTTGTTATGGTGAGCCTGATAGGAAGTTTTCCCATGGAGAGCAGAGGCAGGATTCTGATTCTTATTCCAGATGATATATCATACAGCCTCAGGTCATAGGAACATCAGAAGACCAGAATCAATGAGAATAGCATGAACTCAGTCAAAGATGACATGGTTCAGGCTCTCAGCTACTCTATTTTGCTCTGGAGTGTTAGAAGAAGAGATATTAGTAAAGGTGTATAAATAGCAGTATCCATAGTGTGACTGGACTAAGGCAGGTCCCCATAAATCTGAAAGAACAAGGTCAAGTATATCTTTAGCTAAGCTGCTCCCCCTGGGTGAGAATGAGGCATGCTTGCTCTTGCCTTGTGTGCATGCAGCACAAATGCCTGAATTCTTAGACAACTCCTTGGTAGAAAGGCATATCCCTAAAACATTACCCTTAGAAATCATGCCTTTGATATTGTGATGGCCAAGGTGTCCCAATGCTTCATGCAAGGACTGTAGCTTTGTTGGCTTCAGAGAAGTTGTCATATTATATGAGGTATTCCTAAACAATCCTGAAACATTGAGGTGATAGAGGCAGTCAGACTGCTTAGCAGTGGTACATATAATGTTCTCCTTCCTAATAGCATCCTGAATGAGTTTATCATGGTCATTCTTTTCAAAGGTAACACATTTGCTATTTCCAAAGAAAGTATAGCAATTTGCATCATCAAGTCTTGATACAGAAATCAGACTGAGATGAGAATCCAGCACAAAGCAGGTATTCTGGAGCTTTAGATGAGCACAACCCTTCTTCAGTAGCTTAGCAGTAACATAAACTTCACCTCTTCCCTCAATTCTCCTCCTTATATCACCAAAACTATTGATATTGCTAGATGAGGATGAGAGAGATTTAAAATTGGATTGAATAGAATGGATATGTGAGAATGTTCCAGAGTCAATAATGATAGCTAACTATGTGCACTGATCCTTGATCCTTGGTCACTGGATTCTCAATATGATTGGATGTATCATAGTGGGAAGTAGTAGTATTGAAATCTTCCTCTTCTGAGAATACATCATCAGTAGCATGTTGGGCCTTCTTCTTGCCCTTATCATGCTTTTTAGTTTTGCCCCTAGTATTAGGCTTTTTTTTCTTGGGATCTTGATCTTCTTTTCTACCACTGGATGCCCAACAGTCAGCAGCAATGTGATTAGTCTTCTTATGGCAGTTGCTACAATAGAGCTTGCCATGGGATTTGACCTGATGATCAAGCAGAGCCATTACAAATTCCTGCTTTTGCTGCTTAGTGACATTAGCAGTGGCACAACAATGTTTCTCATCCAGGAGAATGTTGATGGTAGCAGAAGTAGTGCTGGTCTTGTTGATTTGATTTGCTTCACTGTTCTGTCCATGAATCAGCTTCATTGGGGTCATATGGGAGCATAGACAGTAGGATGCAGGCAGCAATATACTCAGAAATAACCCATTTAGCAATAGTAAGATGGTGAAGCACTTCTTGGAAGTGCACAATGTGTTCAGAGATATCAAATCCAAGGTTCATTGGGCTGGTAAGCTGGCAGAACCATAGCATGATAGATCCTGATCCTTTCTGACTCATCTGCAATTTAAGCATCTGCCAGATTTGAAAAACATTTGTCTTGTTAGTTGTCAGTGCAATGAGTTTGTCACTGAGACAGCTCTGCATTAATTCTAGAGTAACAAGATTCTTCTTCATCCACAGAGTAAGAGCAGGTTTTCCCTCTGAATCCTTAGGTTGATAATCGGTCATAATGATATCTCAAAGATCTACAATCAAAAATGCAGTCTTCATTCACACAGCCCAAACTAAATAATTCTTCTCTCTTACAAGCCTGCTATCCTTCTTTGTAGAGAAGTAAGAGGTAGCATTGACACTAGGAATTTCCCAGAACATAGTGGAGAGAGTGGTCTAAACAGTACTAGTAGTAGAAAGAGTGGCAGCTGAAGGTTCAGATATAAATGGAATAGAATAGAGGGATCTGGAATATGATAGAGTCATATGATGCAAAATAAGATGGCAAACTGATCACATAACACACTATGACATAGCAGTAACAGCAGAAAAATGCCAAGATCAGAAGAGAATCAAAGTAAAACTCTGGTCTGAAAAAGAGAAGCATAGAATCAAAGTGAAACCTTGATTTGGTGGTCACAAGTGAGGCACAAGAGGTCAAAGATATCTGGAACAGTCTGAGCATGAGATCAGGGTCAGTTAGAGCATGAGACTTCTAACCTGATAATGTCTAAATTAGATACTACATCAGAAGTCGTTTTCCGGCGAACAAAAAGATGGTGTGTCACACATTAGGTCACCTGTGACCCCAAGTGACTTCAGCGGCAAGGTTGCCGGCCAGGGAAGGGAGCGTTCGGCCTTACCTACTACCTTCGGGCACGAAGAAAGTGTGCAAAGAAAAGGGGAAGAGGAGAAGAAAGGGAGAAGGGCAGGCAGGGTGCACCCATACAAAAAATCATCTGAAGGAGGGAGAGAGAGAGGATGATATGGATGGAAAGACTCACATTGGTGCTGGTGTTGCCGTCGTAGTAGCCTGCACAGTAACCGAAGGAATTATCATGATTTTGATTGTGGTAGCAGCAGGTAGACAATGTAGATCCAGATCCAGATCTACAGAAACAAGTGAGTTGTACGATGCGACGCGACTGAACTTGAAAGAGACACACACCCTGCCCTGGAAAAAGGGAAAAAAAACCACACAAGGGGGGAGGAAGAGAATGTGAATGAACGCTGTGTGGTTAAAAAAGTGGAAAGGAAAGGAAGAGTGAAAGCCTGTGCTTATGCTTTAGGTTCCAAATTCTCCACAGGTCGGTCTCAATTATGGCATGCATGCCGTACACTGGCATACTATGTAATGTAACAACCTACATCACCCTGTAAGATGCCTATCTGCATGATGACCTGGACTGTCTTTTTCCCACCTTCCGCCTGATGTCAGAAGTTGACTGGAGCCTGAAAAAAGACAGTTTCTTTCTTCTCACGAGACAGTTTGTCATCCTGTCCACAATGCGAACATGCTCCCAAGTCCTGCCCCAACAAAAAGAGAGACTTAAGACCATCCAGTACAGAACACAGACACGTACCAAGGGCATCTATTGAATAAGCTAGTACCACATACCTGGTGAAGTTTACCCCATGTCATGTGTTCTTGATTGTGTGGAGGGCCATATAGTTATTGTGATATTGTACTATGACATTGAGACACATCATGGCATCTCCTCTTAGTGTGGAGTACATTGAGAGGATGCTGGTCACTGAGGTTACTGACAAGCCCTGGCTACACGCAAATCCAATAGAAACCAACATCACATGATCGTATTTATAATGCACATGCAATGATATCTGACAAAGCCTCTCTGCTACCAGTGACGAGTGGGATCAGAAATGCTTTTGGGTCCAATCTATTTGCTCCTCTAATCCAGCCCATACTTTTATGCATCTCTCCTTCTGCCAACTTGAGGAATTTGTCCCATCTAAACTCGTAACGTGAAACCTTGCAGAGAAGATGTTCAACAAAGACTGTTGCAAAACCCTGACTGAACCCAAGAATCTCTCTATCACTCTCAGATAGATGCTCATCTAGAGTGTCATGAACTATCGCAAATGCTGCTACTACTGATGCTACGTCGGTCATGACAAATCCCATTTTCTCCAGTCCTGCAAATGCTCCTAGTCCACGGTTGTGCGATATCCAGGTTCCGACCATTGCAACAGAAGGTGTCTGTATGATTCCAGAAAACAGGAGGTTGTTTGCAAATTGCAGAGGTGTCAATCCACTTCCAATGGGATGTAAACCTAGATAGTTTGTGCTCTGTCCCCAGATACTAGGATTTGCGAGCGGCATGTATCTGGGATTCTCCTTCACAGCTTTATCTTCTTCATCCTCATTAAGATCAGCATCTCCAACCAAATCAGCATTTCTGTTCATCCCAGCTCAGAACATTTCAATACAAACAGCGGCAGAGCTGAAATCCCAAATGCTTGTAGTATTAAGGAATCTTTGTGTTCAATATGATTGGCCAGTTCCCATGAAGGCAAGTACACCAGAGATTCCTGTGCGTTGTAGAAGCACTCTAGTTGGGAGCTTTGCTTGAAACATTGTTGCATGGCAATTGAAGCGACGAGCAGGATCAGTCTGATCAGGATCATGCCTAGGAGTAGTACTACCCAGCGTTGGATGCTTCCCTTCAAGAATGTAGCGTACGCTTGAGGGAAACATTGGGAAGATTGCCTTCACCCGGGAGAATAGTGTCAATTGAGGGAAGCGCAGTGAGCGAGAAGGTCTTTTTGAGATACTGGGGACCTTTAGGTTGGCCAGTAACTGGAATCAGCTGCCAGTTTGAAGCAGCATGAGGGTTTTTATATTGTTCCTCAGTTATCTCCGAGCCCTGATAGGATTCAACAAGTCGCTGATGAACAAATCTTCCTAGATCAGCAGAGATATGATGGAGCTCAGGTGTCGAATCAAGGTGGGAGTGAATCCAGATATGCAATGGGGCCAGTGCATCATCCTCATCCTTTATAAGTGCTGCAGCGAAGCGTTCATAATCCTGCCATCTTTTCGGAAGCACACGTAATGGTGCCATTAAGATAGGTTTTATGGCCTCTGATGATAGAATTCCCTCATCTCTACCAAATGCATCAACCAGACATTGAAGAATGGCACCAGTACTGATGCATCGTGCATGTATCCTGATTCAACTACTTTTGAGAGGCCGTTTCAACTTCATTTTCCTCTCGATGTTGCCAATAGCAGGAGCAATGAGCTCACGCATCCACAGATCTAGGAGAACCTGGACGCATGCATCATGAAATGCATCTGGAGATTGTCCTATGGTTCATGGGTTATGGTACCCCCAATGAATGTCAGGAAGTGTGACGGTCTCTCCTTTTCCTTTGCAGAGACCAAAAAGATCATCTTTGATGAGAGCAACATCACCCAAAGCATCACCCTGCCATGATGACCCACTTGCACAAAGTTTCTGGATGTCTGCTCTAACGTAGTTGGTGACATGCTTGACAAGGGGACCCAGAATAGGATATGTGCTCTTCATCTGCTCTGTGCTCATCATATCATTATAGCGAACCAGTGCCCAGGCTAAGGCTGGGCCCATATGGATAAACCAGTCATATAGAATGATATATGATCGGGAAAGTTCAGATGAGAGAGCGCGTTGAAAGAGGTCAATCTTATACTCCTCTATATTAAGTGATGAGAGGATTTCAGCAGTGTTCATAACATGCTGAAGGATCATCAGAGCACTGATATTTGACCAGTTGCTAGTATTTCCAGCAAATGACATGTATGAGGAGTATTGATTCTGGGCATTGTTCCATTCAATGAGCTGCTCAACTAGAGCAGAGAAGGCTGGAGTATGAAAGCGATATTTGTTTGCACCGAGGCTCTCATGTTTCTCAACAAGGGCATGAAGCTCAGCTACACAAGCATCTAGATGAAGAAGTGATGCCCAAGCTGTTGTATCCTGAAGTTGAATGGTCTTATCGACACGATAACGCTTGGGAGGATGCTCTGATGAGGAACCAATAATACTTGTTGAAATTAAAAAATAATATAAACATATGAATATAGTAAACTTACTCGTCATCAAGGTCGAAGAGAGTAGCCAAATAATTTGTCTCACCAATTTGGGAACGATATTCTGCAAGAGCAGATGGCGCATACTCTCTATATGCAGGATTAATAGCAGCAGGAAATTTATATTTTCACATGTACTCTATATCTCTGTGTGTCACCCAGCTATTAGGAATGTCTCCTCGCCATTTGATGAGATACTGTAAAGTATCCTAGTTCCTTGTATATTAGCGGGCCCGGTCATCCAGACAAGGAGTTCATACCATTGTGAAATCCATATCCAAAATGTTTTCAATCTCCCATATATCGTTCTGAAAGTTTTCACCTGCAGACGTCGCATGCTGTTGTACTGGAACTTGTTCAGAATCACAATCATCATTATTGTGAAAGAATAATAGTGTCACTGTAGCGTCTATTTCCAGTTGAGGAGGTATATGAGCCTCGAGTGACGTAGGCGTTTTGTTGATAAGAATATCATTTGCAATGAACTGCTGGAATAAGACTCTATTATTGGGTGTCTTCAGACTACATGTTGCAGAGAGTTAGCCATATACCAAATGTATACAGATTAATATCTTACCATGCGGTGGTATTTGAGATTTTCTGAATCTCATCGCTACCACTGATTTCAACAAACCAAACAACCTGCTCTTAGATTAGATGATTGTACACTATAGACGGATGGATGTAGAGAATTTACCTTGCCATCTTCAAAACTTCGGTCAACTACAGCTTGAACCCTCCAATAGCGTGTATGTAAATCTGATATATCATCTGATCTCTGCATAACAGCATGGCGCTCCACTGCTACAAAAGCTGGAAGGCGAGAGGATTTGCGAAAATCTAGCTGCCTCTGTGTCTGGTGAAGTTGATTTTTGGTGATGTGGATAAATGTCTTGCTACAGAGATTTCGATACCATTCATACCAGCTCCACCACTTTAGCATTTCATCATAATTTTGGAGTGGGTCAAAACATGGTGGTCATACATGCTCTGTTTGCCCATCATCATTGGTAAATGTCATCATTTGGAGCACCTTGGTTGTGTCAAGATTAATACCTACTTGCGCAAGCTTGTCATGAAAATCCATAATGGCCTCTCGAGCTAGGCGATTCTTTGTTTCAGACATATTGCCAAGCATAATAGAATCTTCATCCGAAAATGTTTTCCGGTTCATCTCCTGCTTGTCATGAACGGAAGAGTTTCCCCAGCCAGTGGGATGGTTCATTGCCATAGTTCCGGTCCACTGAGTGGCAACATTGTTGGGATAGTTGACATACGCACACCTATTTGTGCGACTGGTATAGGTCCAACACTTCGTCACTCCTCCAATCAACTCGTCAGAAAGTGGTCCTTCATGAGGATGTGCGCCACAATGAATATCATTGCCCCGAAAGATCAAAAACACGATCCAGGTGTTCTCACGGATATAGATGCCCAGACGACCAAGGAAAAATGGTCCTGGATCGGATCCTGCATTTTGCGTCAGTTAGGTTGTTTAGATGAGGTCCAAGAAGAGTTGCACCTGGTGGGAGATTGAATACAATCACCAAGAACGTCCATTTTGTCCAATCATCACCAATATCAGTATGCCATGAACCTTGAATTGTGCCAATTAAAAGGTGAAGATCAATTTCTCCCGATGATGAATTTAGCTGACATCCAGTCCCATTAGGGTCAAGACCTCCAAATGAGATGACATTCATAAGCTCATAATGTGCCTCCATAATCTCCCATTCTAATTTAGATACCGAGCATGGCATCAGCAGGTGATAGAGACGATGGAGCACACGGAGAACAGCCTGTATCTGACGACGTCCTTCAAATGTAGAACATTGAATCCCTGGCTTTGTGATGCCAATTCCGTTTCCCTGCTCACTAGTGACAGCAAGGGTAAAGGAGCCATCGGTTGTCTTCCGTGGTCCTCTATTGGCAGATCGCAGGTTTTCCTTTAGATCAAGTTGAAAGATGGGTCCAAACGTGACATTATTGATGTTTCCACCATAGGTAAGCTGTCCCAGCTTCTGAGCCAAAGCGTTAACCTCTGGATAAATCTCAGAGTACATCTCTTTGATAGATTCCAGCGTATGACCTGCAGCCATAGTCACCCTCTGGTCAGGATTACCATCAATGTCATAGACAAACGGAATGCCTAAGAGGAGTTTAACCATGCCTGGTATAGGCTGTGGCCTCCAGTGAAGGCTGTCAGTACGAATAGGAGCAGCATCAGGGTGTGTTTTGATGTGGAGCATACGATCACAGAATATCTCCTTCTTAGAGGGATCAAAAAGCTGTTTATATATCCAGCTAGAGGAAAAATGGTTGTCGTGTTGTAGGTGCCATGGCTGCGAGATTGGGTACCAATAGCCATTCTCAGCCTCATCGCAATACGGAGGAATCAACATGTTCGGGCATGGCTTCCCGCCTTTGGAGCATTGAGAAGGAGAGAAGATGAATTGATCAGAATGGAAGGGAGGACATAGTGGCTGAACATTGTCTGGATGTGCATACAAGTGGCAGTATATAGGTACTAGGTTTTGTGCATTAAGTATAAGCTTTATGAGAAAAATGAGCTGACACACGTGCGGCTACAGGTTCTACTACCATAAAACGCTCTTCCTGGACATCATTCGCACAAATGGGATATTGGGTATGTTCTGGAAGTAACACTTGTGAGCAACCAGTTATGTATGAAAGCAGAGAGCTCTGACCTAGTTGATCCGGCAAGGGATTCATAATGGAGGGCAAGCTGAGTTGCTGACAGTGACAGGGTGAGAAGCAGTGGAAGACAAGTTTGTAAGGGAAATACCAGGAGGGAGGGAGGCAAGAGGTGGAAGGAGAGGTCAAAGATGTCATGCTCAGGGCAGCTTGGAGGCTGTCCTCGCTGTTTCCCATGAGGTTTGTGCCCAGCATGTGGCTGGGCACAAACCTCATGGGAAAGAAAATGTGGCCTGCGTTCACTGTTTTGCTCGACTAGGAATTTACAGCAAAGTGCAAAATGGATTACAGGGATCATGCATTGGGCAATGTGGACTCCTAGAAGATGGGGAATCAGGGCTATAAATTCGAAGAAATTGGAGATACAACTAGGTGAAGGATAGGGTAAAAATTTGGAGAAGATAAGACACTAGCTAAGTGAGTTCTCCCTCGATTTCCTTCATCCTCAGCTCGTTTCTCAACGCATTTATTCGTAGAATCCAACGCAACAAACTCCGTATGCATAGCATAACCCGTTCCAAAGGTATGGGCTGTTGAAGATGTGGCCAGCAGGAGATCAGGCTGACACAGTGAGTTCTCCTTCGATTTCTTTCATCCTTGGCTCGTTCCTCAACACATTTATTCACAGAATCTAGCCCAACAAACCTCGTGTATATAGCTCCTCTTGTCCCAAAGCTATAGGCTGTTGAAGATGTGCCCAGCAGGAGATCAGGCTGACATGGTGTGGTGGCGAGCATAGCCACATAGAATATTTGTCTCTCTTTGGAGTAATCCATCGTGCTTCCCTCACCCCTATTTCCCTTGTCTCTAAGTTAAACTATCATGGGCATTAAATCTGGCTGGAATGTATGCTCCCTATTATCATTTGTTATCATCCTTCTAACAAAAACAATGTAGCTCTTGCGACCTGTTGAATCTTTGTCCATGATTGACTGGTCAGCCCAAGTCATTTTGACTGGGTCATTGCATGCTCTTGGTCCACGCATTGGCATTGATGCCAGGTACATTGTTCTCCTCACCTATATTCTCACCCTCTTCATCTCTCTTGCTAGCGGGTGGATCTTTGCTGCCAAATATCACTATGCACAGACCAAAAATGCTGCACATGCCTCCCTATTCAAACGCCTGGGCCGTCTTTTCCACCTGCCTGTTTTCCCACTCTTTGTTTTTGATGGCCCAGAGCGCCCTATCATCAAATGGAATAAGAAAATCAAGAAAGGAGATAACTGGCTCACACATGATTTCAAAAGACTCCTCGAAGGCTTTGGATTTGCATACTGGGACGTAAGTACTTGTTCCTCATTCTTTGTCTGCCCTTTACACTCGATACAGGCACCTGGTGAAGCAGAGGCAGAGCTCACCATGCTCTCTAAAATTGGCCGTATCGATGCAGTCATGTCCGAAGATTTTGACACAATGATCTTTGGTGCTGAACATGTAGTCTGAATGTGAGTGGTATCTTCTGTACACTCATCTCATTGTGTTTACCCACCATACGGTTATAGCTCAGATGAAAGCGACTCGCAGTATATGATTCAACTATATGAAAAGGGCACTCAATTCTCCCCCAATGACCTCGTTATGATTGCACTTTTAGCTGGCGGTGATTATGATGTACATGAGAACCTGGACAAATCCTGTATAGATGCTAACATCTATCGGATAGAATGGAATTGAAGGCGGTGGCATCAAGACTGCGGTTCACATTACCTCATCTGGCATCCGTACACATCTTTTTGAAAACCTTGAAGGCATCTTGCCAGACGGATATCCCACTATCATTGCAGCATGGCAGCAGGATTTGTGTACTATGCTCAGTTCTGAAGAGACTCACAAGATCCCTCCCTGTGCCCGTTCTTTGATATCGCATATACCTCCTGACTTTCCAAAAGTCTCAGTGTTGGTACAATATCTCTGTCCTGTCATATCAGATTCAATGTTCCAGAACCTTCCAGCTGCTCCAGCTCTCTCTCAACCTGATATTCCCAAGCTCGCTCGGCTCTGTGAAGAGCTCTTTATCTGGGGAGATTCTATGGGTATTATTCAGAACTTTTCCAATCACATATTCCCAGGCCTAGCCATTCGCGAGCTACTTCATGACTTATGCCTTCGCCGCAGGCTTATCCAACCTATGGACACATGTCTTACATCACATGCTATAATCTCTAAGGCATGTTCAATTCATAGAAACCAGCACCAACGATCTGAGTCTGAGATCTTTGTCTCCTTGATCATTCCCCCTGCAGTTGTCTCCCAGATTACTTCTGCGATCACAGGCAGATATGAGACTAGCACAACGGGAGAGAAATTCAGCAAGTGGCAGGAAAAGCATGAAGTTCGTGTATGGCTTTCACGTGTCTTGGCTCTTCATGCAGCTAGTGGTAGTACAGAACTTAAAAGGCCATTTACAGAGACTATTAAGACAAGCCGACAGAGTCAGAAACATGCTCGGTTTTCTGAAGACTTGTTCATTGAAGTATCAAGTGATGAGGATATGGAGGACACCAGTAAGAATCATTACTTCTCGGTTTTATGATAAAATTTAAGAATTCATGCTCTTCTTTAATAGCAACCTTACGAAAGCAACAGCCAAAGTCTAAAGTATCACCTCATTATCACATTGAAGCACGCTATTTAGAAACGGGCGAGGTTTGGGAGCTTTGCACAGAAGACAAAGACGTAGCTTAAATAGGGGTCATCACAGCTCCTATATATTCTGTATTGTATACTATCTGCAGCATTCTGTTTCACTCTCTCATTCTTATTCACGCATTTTACTTTTTCTCAAAACTCTAGCTATTGCAGTGAACAACGGTACAATCATGATCAACAATATCACTACTGCTCGAGGTATCTGCAAAGTGTTGGATCAGTCTCAGGCAGAGTATCTAGCATCTGAGGAGATTATTGACGACATTGAAGCTGAGCAAGAGACTTGCCCCGACTCGTTTGATATCGACATTGATGGTGATGTGCAAATGGATGCAGGGCAGAGTGCATCACAGAAAATTGAAGAGGTTCTAGCCAATATTCGTGCAGTGTCCAAAGGAGTCAATGAAGGTACTGATGAAACATATAGAAAGTACGTGCAATTTAGCTTCAGCTATTCATTCTAACTAGTTGTATATCAGTGTCATGAGGACATTCAATGAATTTTGCATTCAAGAAAAGATCATTACGCGTGGAACAGATATCTTCACACAAAAGAATCTTGACCATAATATGGACTACTACATCATTGGATTCATTATGAGCAAGTGCATTACATCCTTTGAGTATTCTGTCTTGAAATCTCATGGTTAATTTCAAGATGTGATGATTTTGACATGTACGGTGTTGATAAGAAGCCAGAGGATGCTAGAAGGTCCTTCTCTCTTGCAGAAAAGCTTCATTCTGGTATAACGTATGGTTTTCAAAGAGCAGGTGGTTGGGGAAAAACTCTGTGGGATAAGGCTACTGCAGCTGGAAATCCTTCTATCTCTGAGCTAGTGTCCTCTTATATGCTAAGCTTGAGAAGGCGCAAGGTATTCTCATCCATCTTTAAACTAACCACATCAAGTTTACTCACCAATTACTCAGATTGCTAAGGGAGACGCACCAACAAGTACATGAGCAATCACTGCTGCAAGTGGTCTCTCTATGAGCCTTGTTTGATCTGTATTTATCATCTTCTCCCATGTTTAGGATGTGCTTAGACGACTGTACAAGTTCAACCATCTTCCGCAGAACTGGAATAATGCCAGTATCCAACCAGGGAACTGGTGTGGAGGCAATATGCGCCACCTCCTTCAAGCAGTATATCTGGTTGCATTCACCTGCTTACTCCGCATCGATGAGGTCCTCAAAATACAAGTCCACGACATCTCTTTCTACAGAGAGAATGGGAATGGAACTCACTGTGTATCAATCAAACTACCATTTCGCAAAACCAGCCAATTTGGAAGTGAGTTTGTTGATTTCACCTAGTTCGTCTCTAACGATGGATTCAGAAATAGAGCCATTCGTACTTAGGGCTCTCCCAGCTCAAATGGCGCATCTTTGTCCTGTAAAAGCTCTTGCCGAATGGATGGATGTATCAAAAATCTATTATGGTTACTTGTTTCAAAAGATGGACAAAAGGGACCACCCAATTTTGGCAAAGAGTTCACCCATGGTATGACGTGCAATCATCAAAGGTGAAAGATACTCACTAAGATGCACTAGACCGCTGAAGTTTTCCTGGAGCTCTTTTGCAACAACCTTTTTGATATTGACATATCACCATATGCCTATGGTACACACTCTTTCCGTTGAGGCGGTTGTCAGTGGTTGTCTGTAGACCTTCGTTGGTCTCTTTGGCAGATATGCGAATGGGGAGGGTGGAGCACAGAATTCACTCACTTGACAATTGTCAAGTATCTCATCTCATGGAATGATGATCCAATGCTGAGATGAGATGAGTTTTTCAAGCTTGATCGTGAGCCTACACTCAAGTGTTGGACGTGTGGTCAGTCATGCCCATGTGCATAGTATTAAGAAATAATGTATTGCTTTTTTGTGAAGAGTTTATATGAGCGTTAATGTACATAAGCCGTCGGTCTGATAATCCTGATCACTTTCACCCGAAGACCCGCCTTTGACAATACATCTGTGCAATATCTGATTCTCGTCTCATGGTGATCCGCTTCTTCTTTCCCTTCTGATAGGCAAACTCTTTGGAAAACTGATCATCACCGTATTTTCCCTTGGCCTCCTTCACTAACTGGGCATTGTTGTCTTTCCGCTCGTTCCGAAGAGAGTTTATGATACGAGTATATGACATCCTCTGGCCTTGTGGATCAGTATATTTTTCCCAGAATGCATCTTGCGTCAAAGACTGGTATCGTTCCATAAAATACTAAAATAAAGAAAGAATGAGAAAAAACAGAGAATCTATGAAACATCCCTGCACGCACATGCCAGTTGTTCCAACTATTCTTGAGTCTGTGCCACTCCATGCCAGCGGCCTTGTTATTCTTGTAGAGGACTTTCCAGTGCTTGATAGGAATTGGATGGCCTTGGATGTGTATTGGATGATCATCAGGTGGGCCCCACTCTGAGCTAGCATCATCCCAGCTGCTAATGAGCTTCTGAATATTTGATGCATAACGGAATGGCTTTGTTGGTGGTACATCCATCTCGTCAAATCTGATATGTGATCCTGTAACGAGCATGCCGACGGAAACCCGACTTCCACTCAACCCAACAAACCACAGCCCGGAATCCTACGGAATCCGATTCCCAGTTTCTATTTCATATTCTATTTCATATTCCATTTTATATTTCACTTCTCCATTACAATTTATCAATAGCCCAACATCGGTAGCGAACATGTCATTGGACCCCATCGGCTACCGACCGGTAGAATACATCCTCCGACAACCCTAGAATGTAGACCACTCCGAGTAGAAACTAGATCAGACTCCTAACTAGTATATAAGCCTTAGAATTACACTGTAGATACTCAGTTCAAATATCAACTTGGTTCAGCCCAATCTCTCTAACTCTAACTCTCGTTCTCCAGTCTGTGGAACTCCGATCCGTTGGACTTATCACTTACCTCATCTCCGCCACTCCGCGGACTTCCGTCCATATCCATCTCAGGGCTCAGCTCAGGGGTGACGTTGCTAATAGCTTCGCCTATGCCCGACGCATCCCACGGCATTCCACTACATGCACTTACCGCCGCAATCCTATTGGCACGATCCTAACAGTATATTCGAACTCAAACCCTTGAGTCGAAATTTCTTCCTAACCATGTCTTCTACTTTCACTGTTCCTCCAGAAACCAGCCGCAACTCCACGGTCAACAACTGAACCTACACCATGGATGATATCCCTGCCTCTGCTTCAAAAGAGGGTCCCCTTCTCTTCGGATCGGATTCCGCCCCTCGCCAACAATCCCATAGGGAAACCTACCTTCACAGTGGCTTCACTGCTCGCCAATCCGATGCTAACCGATCGCCTAACCCCTTCCTAGCCCAGCGATCAGAATCCAATGGCTGGGGTGAGTATCGAAGCGACCCCCTGTGGAACCCAACTACCTCTCTGTTCAATGACATCCCAGGTCGGGATGACGACGACGACCAAGGTTCGGAAGACGGGGAATTCCCCCCTCACATGCCAATGAATGGCCACGGAAACCCATCGGAAAATCCTGGCGGTGGCTCACCCAATCCAGGTGGCCCTGGAGGTCCTGGAGGTCCCGGTGGTCCTGGAGGAGGACCTAACAACAATCCTGGTAACAATCCTAATCCTCCCAATAACGACGCCCAGATCCTCATTCAACTCATGAATGTCCTCTGTGGCGTCTCTGATGCTGTCAATGGCAATCGACAACGTGCAGTATGCACCAAGGTCAAGGAACCAGATACCTTTGATGGTTCGGACTCCCGAAAACTTAAGGCCTTCATCGTCTCCCTCCAGTTGAACTTCAATGACTGTCCCGATGCCTTCCGATCGGATACGGCAAAAGTCAACTATGCTATCTCCTTCCTTTCCGGTCTCGCCCTAGACTGGTTCGAACTGGATATCCTCCACCCTAATCACTGCAACCCCCCTGCTTGGGCATATTCCTATACCGCTTTCCTTTCAGAACTCCGCACCAACTTCGGCCCCTTCGACGCCGTCGGTGATGCCGAAGATGAGCTTGAAAATCTTTGGATGCACGATGGAGACTGCATCATGAAGTATATTGTCAAATTCAATCAGTATGCTGCCATTATTGGCTACGGTGACAACTCCCTTCGTCATGCCTTCTACCGTGGCCTTTGCTCTCGCATCAAGGATGATATGGCCCACCACGGGAAACCCAATAATCTCCATGATATGCGGAATCTCGCTCAAGAGCTCAACACTCACTACTGGACTCGGAAAGCCGAAATCTCCCGAGAAAATCGCAGTAACCCATCTTCCTCTTCCAGCAACAGCAACAAGGCGAAGGGTTCTAACTCTTTGGCTCCCAACTCCAACTCCGTGAGCCAAAAGTCCTCTCATTCAGGCTCCATGGGATCATCTTCGTCTTCCCCCAACAACTCTTCCTCTTCCAACCCTAAGCCCTACACTGACAAGCTAGGCAAAGATGGCTGCCTTACTCAAGAAGAAAAGGACTGCCATCAGAAGAATAACCTCTGCATGTTCTGCGGAGGTAAGCACAACACCGAAGATTGCAACAAGCGCAAAGCCACGGCCTCTGCTCGGGGCTGTGCAGCTGCAGCTACTCCTGCCCCTGCTCCCAAGTTCACTGCCTCTATTGAAACGGTTCCATCAGAATCGGAAAACTAGAGAGCAACCCTGTATCCTCCGCACTAGGACAGGGTTGTGTTGACTGTCACAGTGCACTGGAGATCGTAACCCTCAACGCTGCCGCTCTTTCCAATCATTCCCTAACTGTCTCTCTCTCGTCTGAAGTTGGCTCCGGATCGGAGTCCGACAGTTCACCCATTTCTACTATCCTTCATTTTCTTGCACTCGTTGATTCTGGCTCTAGCCACTGCTTTGTTGATTCGAAGTATGTTGAGGATCACAATCTGCTTACCAAATCTATCCCACCTGTCCAACTTTGGCTTCTCGACGGCTCCGTCAGATCTCGCATCTCCCAATCCATTTCCCTTCCAATCCGTTTCCCTTCTGGAGACATCCTTCCTATTGACTTCTACGTCACTCATCTAGATTCATCTTGTAACGTCGTTCTGGGATACAACTGGCTCTCCCACTACAATCCGTCGATTGACTGGGTAAAGCACGGTATCACTTTCCATTCACCATTATCGGTTGTTTCTTCATCAAGCGCTTCCGCGGCTGCCAACACACATGTGCCAGTCCGCTCGGACTCTTCCAGTCCAATCCAACCATCCCAATCATCATCTTCCACCCCAAAATCGAGATCCTGACGGGCTCTGCCGCCTTATGAACCTATCTACTCCTACCCTACCATTCCTTCCTTTGGTGCTTCGGCCGCCCCCAAGATATCTATTATATCGGCTGCCACTTTTGTCCGAGCTTGTGCAGAAGAAGGGGCTCAGCAGTTCACATTGCAGCCTTCTATGCCTAGTGTTAATGGCAAGGCGACCTCTGTGGCTCCTGCTAACTTATCCGATGTCCCACCGGAGTACCATGAATTTGCTGATGTATTCAGTGATTCCCTTTCTGAAAAGCTCCCTGAGCATCGCCCTTACGACCTCAAGATCAATATCGAGAAAGGCTCCACCCCTCCACTTGGACCCATCTATTCCCTTTCTGAATCCGAACTAAAGGCCTTACGCGAGTTTATTGACGATAACGTCCGTAATGGTTTCATCACTCCTTCCCGCTCTCCGCACGGAGCTCCAGTACTGTTTGTCAAGAAGAAAACCGGTGAACTTAGACTCTGTGTAGATTATCGTGGCCTTAATAAAATCTCTAAAAAAGACCGTTACCCTTTGCCCCTCATTTCCAACCTCCTTGATTCCGCTCGTCTCTACACCAAGCTAGACCTTCATCATGCCTACCATCTCATCCGCATAGCCGAGGGTGATGAATGGAAAACCGCTTTTCGGACCCGCTACAGCTCCTTTGAATGGCGAGTCATGCCATTTGGACTCACTAACGCTCCCACGGCTTTCCAACGCTTTGTCAATGACATCTTTTCCGATATGCTCGATGTATCTGTCGTCGTATACCTTGATGACATCCTTATCTACTCTGACAATCCCGAGGATCACCGAAAACGCGTACACAAAGTCCTTCGCAGACTCAGGGCTAATGGCCTCTACTGCAAGGGTTCCAAATGTGAATTCCATCGGGACTCCGTCAAATATCTTGGTTACATTTTCTCGCCCAAAGGCTTACGCATGTCTGAAGACAAGGTCAAAGCTATTACTGACTGGCCGGTTCTGCGGAAAGTCAAGGATATCCAATCCTTCCTCGGCTTCGCTAATTTCTACCGCTGTTTTATTCATGAGTACAGCGAGATTGTCCTGCCCTTAACACGACTCACTCGCAAAGGAACTCTGTGGAAATTCGACGAAGAATGCCTATCCGCTTTCAATGAGTTGAAGCAGGCTTTTACTCATGCTCCTATCCTCACCCACTGGCTTCCCAACCGTCAACTGGTTGTGGAAACCGACGCGTCCGACTACGCTATTGCCGCCATCCTATCCATTTACCTAGAGGATGGTGAGATCCATCCCATCTCCTTCTTGTCCTGGAGTCTCCATGGTGCCGAACTCAACTATGATACGCACGATAAAGAGCTTCTAGCCATCTTCGAAGCTTTCAAATACTGGCGCCACTACCTTGAAGGCTGCGCAGAAGCCATTGATGTCGTTACAGATCACAAGAACCTTGAGTACTTCTCTACTACCAAGGTCCTTACTCGACGTCAAGTATGCTGGTCCGATGATGTGCTCGGTAACGGCGAGTGACAAAAGGCTAGTGAATGGATATGAACACCACAACACCAAAACCCTCTACTACTCTACACTAATCACCAATATTATTGAGTTTGGGTGTTTCGAGTATGATAGAAGCACTCTGCAGACTTCAACAAATCAGGGAAAGGTTGTTTAAAGACGTATATTTGGTACTAGTGAGCTACACAAGATGTAATACTCGTGCTAGCGGGGTTTTAAGACATGATTGGATGAATAGTGACTTGGGTTGAGCAACTGCGCTCGGTCTAACTCTGATACTTCGAAACTAGTGGCACTCTGGGCCAAATACTGGGTCTCACAAGCGGTCTACACTTGACTAGTGGCACCCTAGGCTCGACTAGTGGCACTCTTGGCCTAAGAACAAATACTTTAACTCCGAGAAAATACTTTAACTAACTTCAAAACGCTCTGAGTCACTCCAAGACGGAATAGTAACTTTAAGACACTTCAATTCGTTCAATACTATAGGTGACTAAGCGACTAGTAGACACTTCATCGAGGTTAAGCACAAAAGCCTTTAATTGGGGCACTAGAATACGGACTAGTAGGTCACAATCGCGGGGATGGCTTGCCTGCCTGCAAGGCTGCCCCTTCTACTACTTATATACTACAGAGACAGGTACAGAATAAAATATAAATAGATTCTTTAGGGGTAATATTGGTAAGGATATCTTGGCTAGTCACGAATTATGGTGAATAATCATGCAATAGTCGGCCTAGCCTGTTCTTTCTGTCGGATAGTGGGTCGAGGGACTCCGCTA